AGAATGATGTTTCCACCTCCATGCTTCACGGTTGGGATGGTGTTCTTGGGGTTGTACTCATCCTTCTTCTTCCTCCAAACACGGCGAGTGGTGTTTAGACCAAAAAGCTCTATTTTTGTCTCATCAGACCACATGACCTTCTCCCATTCCTCCTCTGGATCATCCAGATGGTCATTGGCAAACTTCAGACGGGCCTGGATATGCGCTGGCTTGAGCAGGGGGACCTTGCGTGCGCTGCAGGATCTTAATCCATGACGGCGTAATGTGTTACTAATGGTTTTCTTTGAGACTGTGGTCCCAGCTCTTTTCAGGTCATTGACCAGGTCCTGCCGTGTAGTTCTGGGCTGATCCCTCACCTTCCTCATGATCATTGATGCCCCACGAGGTGAGATCTTGCATGGAGCCCCAGACCGAGGGTGATTGACCGTCATCTTGAACTTCTTCCATTTTCTAATAATTGCGCCGACAGTTGTTGCCTTCTCACCAAGCTGCTTGCCTATTGTCCTGTAGCCCATCCCAGCCTTGTGCAGGTCTACAATTTTATCCCTGATGTCCTTACATAGCTCTCTGGTCTTGGCCATTGTAGAGAGGTTGGAGTCTGTTTGATTGAGTGTGTGGACAGGTGTCTTTTATACAGGTAACGAGTTCAAACAGGTGCAGTTAATACAGGTAATGAGTGGAGAACAGGAGGGCTTCTTAAAGAAAAACTAACAGGTCTGTGAGAGCCAGAATTCTTACTGGTTGGTAGGTGATCAAATACTTATGTCATGCAATAAAATGCAAATTAATTACTTAAAATTCATACAATGTGATTTTCTGGATTCCGTCTCTCACAGTTGAAGTGTACCTATGATAAAAAGTACAGACCTCTACATGCTTTGTAAATAGGAAAACCTGCAAAATCGGCAGTGTATCAAATACTTGTTCTCCCCACTGTATGTGTGTGTGTATGTGTATGTATGTTTATGTATATATATATATATATATATAAAAACATGGGGGATTGGAAGTGATGCAGACAATTACATTGATGGAAGTTACAATCTATCTGCAATATTAAGCTGATCTACCCCCCCCCAAAAAAAAAAAAGAAAAAAAAAGGTACAGATACTTGAGTGTTTCTGCCAGAAAGAAACTCTGCTGCAGGTTGTCGTGTTGGATTATATGGCCGTAGACATCAATGATACCAGAGAGTCCTATGGCAAGTCGACAGTGTCGCTCCAGAACCTCCCAGCCCCACTCTCTGTACTTGGGGTCATGGGTCAGTCTCCACATGTAGATGTAGCTCTCCACGACCTCTGGTCTCAGGATGTAATGTCTTGTTTGCCTTCCTGTTATTATCTTGTCTGTTTGGTATGTAGAGATGGAAGGTCATGTCTCTGAGCAGAGCAGAGGGGAGCTTCTGTGTCCAGCTACTGTAGCTAGTTAGTTATATAATCACCTCCGTTTCAGTGCCAGTACCCCATCCTTCCCTGGCATGTCAAAGCCTAGCGGTGAATGGGTTGGTTATCTCATTAGGGTGTTATTTAAAGTGTTTCCCTCCTGTTCTGTGTCCTGCAGCAGCACTAAGAGGTTTAAAGAGTCCTACTCTCTGCCCTTCCTGATGTCCCATACTGTGCTGTACAGAGCCAGACTGGAGTGACTGATCGCAGCCAGGACACGGCTCCTCACGCAACATTGCAACATCTTCTCTACTCTTTTCTTCTGTCTCTTGGTTCTCTGAGGGACACAGAGCCAGGGAGTTGGACAGGGACTGCAGCTCCCTCAGTCCCCTAGCAACCTACCTTCTCTACAGGTGAACCTCAGGACCTCTGCATCCATCAGCTCTCCAGAACCCAACCTAATCCAGCAGAACTACCCCATCTCACCCAAAAGGGTGACAGCAGAGCCAGCCAGAGAAAACAGGCTCTACTCTACCTCTACAGGTCATTGATCTCAGCCCAGCTCTCTGGTAACCGGTACTCATACCTCAGAAGGCGAGAGGCTCCACAGACCGTCCCTCTTCTCAGCCCAGCGCCACCTCTCAGACATGGGGAACCATGGCTCTAACCTGGATGATATCCTGGCAGAGGATATGCACCACTGGTACAACAAGTTCATGAAGGAGTCTCCGTCAGGACTCATCACGCTATTCGAACTCAAGGGCATGCTGGGTCTGCGGGGGATGAACGAGAACGCTACCAGCTACGTGGACCAAGTCTTCTTCACCTTCGACATGGACGGGGTGAGATGGTCATAATGATGATGATGATGATAATGACGATGAAGAAGACACACATTTGTAGAGGGACTGGGAGTGACAGTGCATTAGGATGGTATTAAGCCGTTATAAGTAATGTATTTCAAGTGCATGTTGATGTGGGACCTCTATTGTGACATCATGTGACTTTTATTTTGATATGCTATTCTGTATGTTGGGAGAAGAGCAGGGGTCAGTCTTGAGGTGGGAGTTACTGCAGCTGCCATGTTCTAAGCTCTCTTTATTATTTTGTCTCTTTTGTCTCTCACTCAGTCTGCTTAGCTTCACTCCAGTAGCACACCGGAGGAGCTGCAGGTCTTACCCTGGTCCCAGATCTGTTTGGCATAACAATTCATGAAAAGGAGTGGGCATAAATAGACTAGCACTCAGGCTTGCAGGATCTTAGGTGTGCAAAAGTGTATTTCTGCAGACTGCACTATTGAGTTGGATGCAGAGGTGCAGTTGCTGTCATCAGCAGTTTTAATGCATTGGAGTGCATTGCATTTTCAATTGTAGACTATAGCATGTGAGAGGTGGAAATGGCAGAGCCACTTATAACACTAACATGCTTAGATATAGAGCTAAGAGCTGAACCATCAGCTGAGAGAACAACTGAAGGCAATAAACAACTTATTTGGTAGAAAATGGCCTATGTGGCATTGATATTAGACATAAACATTTATTCTAGAGTCAAAATTGACTACAAAGTGTAAATAGGATCATTTTGTCATAAAGTCAGTCTCGTCCAAACTGAGATTTGTGAGATTATTAAGAAAAAATCATATGTCACAGAATGAAGAGTACCGTAACAGTTTTCCTTTGGTTGGATTTATTTCAATCCAGCCCACATGCCCACAACCCGATCGTTGAGTATAAATCATTTCAAATTCCTTTTTTTTTTTACGGATAGTCAGGGGCACACTCAGACATAATTGACAAAAGAAGCATGGTGTTTAGTGAGTCCTCCAGATCAGAGGCAGTAGGGATGACCAGGGATGTTCTCTTGATAAATGTGTGAATTGGACCATTTCCTGTCCTGCTAAGCATTCAAAATGTAACAAGTACTTTTGAGGGTTAGGGAAAATGTATGGAGTAAAAAGGAAATTATTTTCTTTGGGAATGTAGTGAAGTAAAAGTTGTCTAAAATATAAATAGTAAAGTACAGATACCCCGAAAACTACTTAAGTAGTACTTTAAGGTATGTTTACTTAAGTACTTTACACCACTGCAAATATGTTTGTGCTTTTGCCTACTCCATTGTCATTGCCAAACAAAATGATTGGCATGACAATTCCCAGCCTGGCCTCAGAGCCATACGAAATATACTTTACATATTTCTGAGCACCTCCAAGAGGTATGATACCTACTAATGGTCTCGTTACTTTAGGCAGAAACGCAAGTAGGGAGGTTGGTTAGGGAGAGTGGCTAATCTTTTAGCCAGGTACATTTATATTGCAAAGAATCCTTCAGAACTAACCTGCTTCATCCGGGGTAGACTAACCCATTTAGCTTGATTTAAATGAGTGATCCGCGTGTTGAGGACTGACTAAATCAGATTCTGTCGTAGTAAATATAAAATGTTATAGCTTGGTCTGACTAAAATGTTGTGCAAGACCCATTTTGTGTTAGGAGCGGTTTCACCAACAATTCCCTCCCTCTTGCAAAGATTGCGTCATCATCCCCTTAATTTGAGGAAGACAACTGATTCATTATTTTATTAATCAAATATTTTTGTGTTAAAAAAGGCTAAAGTTAAAATATATTACATTACACAACGACAGAATGTCTTTTAAACGTCATGCAATGTAACACTTTTGTATGACTAATAACAAAAAATATATCGATATGAGTGGGAAAAAATGTGCACACCAAAGACGGCAATAATGATAAGTAATAAAATAAAGACCGTATTTCTAAAAGCCAATTTGACACCATAGCCTCGTCAATTTGCAAGATAACTTTTCATTTTTGCACAACTGAAATGTGTCACTGACTAGCCCATGGATTGATGTTTCAGCATTGTATGAATGAAGACGTCGGTATTCGACTAGCCATGTGCGACATGCATGTGCAGTTATAAGCCTGCTAGAGTTAGCTGCAGGCAGACGAGCAATATCCACTGTCGTAGTACGGGTGTGAAGCTGGTTAGTTTTAAGAAAACCCTGAGTAGATCTAGCTTGCTTCATAGGATACCCCTCTGGGCTCAGAGTAAGATGTATAATACTATACATCCTCGAAGACTTATGATACATTACTTAATCCAATTCGTATGCTATTGTATGACCGGGTAAGACATAAAATGATACTATACGTTATAATTCGTATGATAATGTACTACCGATATTCCATTCATAATGTAACCTAACGTAATATATCATTCTAAAAGGAGTGTTACAGATTTACATACAGAATAATATGAATTGTCCTGAGACCACGTTGCAATTCCGTAACGAGTTGGCAAGAGAGCAGAAAAAGACTGGCACCCAGGCAAGTGGAGTAGAATGTGTGACACAAAAACTGTTGAGGAGACGTAGGAGATTGCGATCTTTACATTTGCATGCTGAGGGAGTGACACAGCTCTAACGTTATCACAGAAAGCTAATCACCTTAACTACCAATGTACTGTAGGATATCTGGGGATCATACCGGACTACGGTTAACTGACCTATAGTACGCTGACTGTGGAAGAGTAGTAAAGTACACACAGCAGAGATGTTTTTTTTTTTTTTTTTCAGTTTACATCGTCCAGACCAGACTAGACATGTTGGTATGATAAACCGTGTGGGATTCCTCCTTCAGGGGTTGTTCCCACCGGGCGAGTGATCTAAGTGTGCGGTTCTCTTAAGCGTGTCATTAGCTAAATCGCTTAGTTGGCACGGGCTCAAGAGAAAGCCTCTTACAGAGGAGAGAGCTTTAGTGTTGGTACTGTCGTCAGGGGTGGGTTGGGGACGGTTGTACTGACCAAGACGGACAGGACACCAACCTAGGACAGGTAAACTAGGTTAAACTTTATGGTGCATCCAGTGTCCCTAAGACCATGTGTCCAGATACATATTTACATATATGGAACTGTATGTATCTAAATAAATGTAGCTACAGCAGATGGGATATATTAAATCAAAATATATTATTCTGTGCACTGAGGAGCAATTGTTTTGACAAAATGGCTGCAATGGCATGCAAAAGTATTGTTGTTTGTACCATTTCTTCACCCTTTCTCTCTCTCTTCGTTCTCTGTTTTAGGACGGGTACATAGATTTTGTGGAGTACATCGCAGCCATCAGTCTGATGCTAAAGGGAGAAATCAACCAGAAACTCAAGTGGTACTTCAAATTGTTTGACCAGGACGGCAACGGGAAAATCGACAAGGACGAGTTGGAGACAATATTCACGGTAATATAGGCGGTCAACACATCTAAAGCGGTCAACTCTTATGCTAATTGATAAATAACTTAGGTACAGGAGAGGTATTTGTAGGAAGCCTGCCAGGATCTTTTACCATCCTCGCATCAGCACTATGAAACCTACTGTATGCATGACTAGACCAAGCTGCAAGAGGCTTAGTTTAGCCTTAGTTGACTTCAAGACAGGGTGACATCACCATGCAAGGCTAATGCTATTATATCAGGGCTTCTAAACATGAATCAACATCATGTCAAAAAACATCAGGTTGGTGACTTCCCATGACATAAAAAGTAATGGTTCAGTTAATAACTTCTTGGAAAAAGTTGAATGGCATCCAATCTAATCCTCTAATGTTAATTTGAAACGGTCAAAATAGAAGGCATCAAGGGAGATTAATTTAAAGAAGTAGGTTGGATTGAACTTGAAATTGGACGAAACAAGGCCACTTTAATCTGTGGAGATGAGCTCACCTAATCCCTCCCTCACACAGAGACCGACAGGAAGGAACTCCCATGCTGGGACCTCATTGGTGGATTTGACCTAATTGGTGGTGACCTCATTGCATTTGTGGTGTGACCATAGAGTTAGAAGTGATAGAAAGGAAAAAGGTACAAAGCCCCTCAGACCATTGATTATATACTGAACAAAAATATAAACTCAAAATGTAAAGTGTTAGTCCCATGTTTCATGAGCTGAAATAAAAGATCCCTGAAATGTTCCATATGCACAAAATGCTTATTTCTCTCAAATTTTGTGCACAAATTTGTTTACATCCCTGTTAGTGATAATTTCTCCTTTGCCAACATAATCCATCCACCTGACAGGTGTGGCATATCAAGAAGCTGATTAAACAGCATGATCATTACACAGGTGCACCTTGTGCTGGGGACAATAAAAGGCCACTTTAAAATGTCACAGATGTCTCAAGTTTTGAGGGAGCGTGCAATTGGCATGCTGACTGCAGGAAAGTCCACCAGAGCTGTTGCCAGAGAATGTAATGTTCATTTCTCTACCATAAGCCACCTCCAAAGTAGTTTTAGAGAATTTGGTAGTACGTCCAACCGGCCTCAAAATCGCAGACCAGCGGCAGGGACTGGGAGACTAGTCAGGATCGTGGGAAAGATGAACGGAGCAAAGTACAGAGAGATCCTTGATGAAAATCTGCTCAGGACCTCAGACTGGGGCGAAGGTTCACCTTCCAACAGGGCAACGACCCTAAGCACACAGCCAAGACAACGCAGGAGTGGCTTCGGGACAATTCTCTGAATGTCCTTGAGTGGCCCAGCCAGAGCCCGGACTTGAACGCGATCGAACATCTCTGGAGAGACCTGAAAATAGCTGTTCAGCGACTCTCCCCATCCAACCTGACATAGCTTGAGAGGATCTGCAGAGAAGAATGGGAGAAACTCCCCAAATACAGGTGTGACAAGCTTTTTAGCATCATACTCAAAAAGACTTGAGGCTGTAATCGCTGCCGAAGATGCTTCAACAACGTACTGAGTAAAGGGTCTGATATTTCAGTTTTTTTTATTTTACAGTGGGGAAAAAAAGTATTTAGTCAGCCACCAATTGTGCAAGTTCTCCCACTTAAAAAGATGAGAGAGGCCTGTAATTTTCATCATAGGTACACGTCAACTATGACAGACAAAATGAGAAATAAAAATCCAGAAAATCACATTGTAGGATTTTTTATGAATTTATTTGCAAATTATGGTGGAAAATAAGTATTTGGTCAATAACAAAAGTTTCTCAATACTTTGTTATATACCCTTTGTTGGCAATGACACAGGTCAAACGTTTTCTGTAAGTCTTCACAAGGTTTTCACACACTGTTGCTGGTATTTTGACCCATTCCTCCATGCAGATCTCCTCTAGAGCAGTGATGTTTTGGGGCTGTAGCTGGGCAACACGGACTTTCAACTCCTTCCAAAGATTTTCTATGGGGTTGAGATCTGGAGACTGGCTAGGCCACTCCAGGACCTTGAAATGCTTCTTACGAAGCCACTCCTTCGTTGCCCGGGCGGTGTGTTTGGGATCATTGTCATGCTGAAAGACCCAGCCACGTTTCATCTTCAATGCCCTTGCTGATGGAAGGAGGTTTTCACTCAAAATCTCATGATACATGCCACCATTCATTCTTTCCTTTACACGGATCAGTCGTCCTGGTCCCTTTGCAGAAAAACAGCCCCAAAGCATGATGTTTCCACCCCCATGCTTCACAGTAGGTATGGTGTTCTTTGGATGCAACTCAGCATTCTTTGTCCTCCAAATACGACGAGTTGAGTTTTTACCAAAAAGTTCTATTTTGGTTTCATCTGACCATATGACATTCTCCCAATCCTCTTCTGGATCATCCAAATGCACTCTAGCAAACTTCAGACGGGCCTGGACATGTACTGGCTTAAGCAGGGGGACACGTCTTGGCACTGCAGGATTTGAGTCCCTGGCGGCGTAGTGTGTTACTGATGGTAGGCTTTGTTACTTTGGTCCCAGCTCTCTGCAGGTCATTCACTAGGTCCCCCCGTGTGGTTCTGGGATTTTTGCTCACCGTTCTTGTGATCATTTTGACCCCACGGGGTGAGATCTTGCGTGGAGCCCCAGATCGAGGGAGATTATCAGTGGTCTTGTATGTCTTCCATTTCCTAATAATTGCTCCCACAGTTGATTTCTTCAAACCAAGCTGCTTACCTATTGCAGATTCAGTCTTCCCAGCCTGGTGCAGGTCTACAATTTTGTTTCTGGTGTCCTTTGACAGCTCTTTGGTCTTGGTCATAGTGGAGTTTGGAGTGTGACTGTTTGAGGTTGTGGACAGGTGTCTTTTATACAGATAACAAGTTCAAACAGGTGCCATTAATACAGGTAACGAGTGGAGGACAGAGGAGCCTCTTAAAGAAGAAGTTACAGGTCTGTGAGAGCCAGAAATCTTGCTTGTTTGTACGTGACCAAATACTTATTTTCCACCATCATTTGCAAATAAATTCATTAAAAATCCTACAATGGGATTTTCTGGAGAAAAAAAATCTCAATTTGTCTGTCATAGTTGACGTGTACCTATGATGAAAATTACAGGCCTCTCTCATCTTTTTAAGTGGGAGAACTTGCACAATTGGTGGCTGACTAAATACTTTTTTTCCCCACTGTAAATACATTTGCAAAAATAATATATAATATAATAAAACTTTTTTTTTTTTTACTGCAACCGCCAACCATCGGAGGATTCAGGAGCCCGCTCTCAATGAGTGTAGACAGCCTGCTGCTGCCGCTCTGCTAATCATCAGATGGGTGTAGGAAAGGAGTTAGGGGGCCCTGCCTTGATTGGGTAACTGATTAATAATACAAAACTGCATAATAAATAAATGTGACTGGTCAATTGTGTGAGTCAGGGGCTGAGCCCAAGATAAAAAAATATATAATTACGTAAATGTTTTTATTATTATAATTGTTATCCATCTACAGGAGCCCACTCTCAATTTTAAAAATACACCAGAGAGCATAATTTAGCCAAAGAGGATCAATAGTTTATAAAAAAAATAACTGTGGATTAAGTTTAATCAAAAGCACATTCAGCCATCTGCCAAAATAAAGGAAACACCAACATAAAGTGTCCTTAAAAGGGTGTTTTGCCACCACGAGCTGCCAGAACAGCTTTTAATGTGCTTTGGCATAGATTCTACAAGTGGACCTACAGTGAGGGAAAAAAGTATTTGATCCCCTGCTGATTTTGTACGTTTGCCCACTGACAAAGAAATTATTAGTCTATAATTTTAATGGTAGGTTGATTTGAACAGTGAGAGACAGAATAACAACAAAGAAATACAGAAAAACTGATGTAAAAAATGTTATAAATTGATTTGCATTTTAATTAGGGAAATAAGTATTTGACCCCCTCTCAATCAGAAAGATTTCTGGCTCCCAGGTGTCTTTTATACAGGTAACGAGCTGAGATTAGGAGCACACTCTTAAAGGGAGTGCTCCTAATCTCTGCTTGTCACCTGTATAAAAGACACCTGTCCACAGAAGCAATCAATCAATCAGATTCCAAACTCTCCACCATGGCCAAGACCAAAGAGCTCTCCAAGGATGTCAGGGACAAGATTGTAGACCTACACAAGGCTGGAATGGGCTATAAGACCATCGCCAAGCAGCTTGGTGAGAAGGTGACAACAGTTGGTGCGATTATTCGCAAATGGAAGAAACACAAAATAACTGTCAATCTCCCTCGGCCTGGGGCTACATGCAAGATCTCACCTCGTGGAGTTGCAATGATCATGAGAACGGTGAGGAATCAGCCCAGAACTACACGGGAGGATCTTGTCAATGATCTCAAGGCAGCTGGGACCATAGTCACCAAGAAAACAATTGGTAACACACTACGCCGTGAAGGACTGAAATCCTGCAGCGCCCGCAAGGTCCCCCTGCTCAAGAAAGCACATATACAGGCCCGTCTGAAGTTTGCCAATGAACATCTGAATGATTCAGAGGAGAACTGGGTGAAAGTGTTGTGGTCAGATGAGACCAAAATCGAGCTCTTTGGCATCAACTCAACTCGCCGTGTTTGGAGGAGGAGGAATGCTGCCTATGACCCCAAGAACACCATCCCCACAGTTTGGAATCTGATTGATTGGGGCCTCCTGTAGCTCAGTTGGTAGAGCATGGCGCTTGCAACGCCAGGGTTGTGGGTTCGATTCCCATGGGGGGCCAGTATGAAAAATGTATGCACTAACTGTAAGTCCCTCTGGATAAGAGTGTCTGCTAAATGTCAAACATGGAGGTGGAAACATTATGCTTTGGGGGTGTTTTTCTGCTAAGGGGACAGGACAACTTCACCGCATCAAAGGGACGATGGACGGGGCCATGTACCCTCAGCCAGGGCATTGAAAATGGGTCGTGATGGGTATTCCAGCATGACAATGACCCAAAACACACGGCCAAGGCAACAAAGGAGTGGCTCAAGAAGAAGCACATTAAGGTCCTGGAGTGGCCTAGCC